GAAGAGAAGAGAAGAGAAGAGAAGAGAAGAGAAGAGAAGAGAAGAGAAGAGAAGAGAAGAGAAGAGAAGAGAAGAGAAGAGAAGAGAAAAGGGAAAAAAAACTCTCTCTCCCCCAGACACCATCAACTGTCAATGGCTCTTTGTTTAAGAGTGGGAGCTCCTGAGCCCCTCTCTGCTTCATTCTAGAATGTTGACTGAGTTAATCTGGCCAGGGTCTTGTGCAGATGACCACAGCTGCTGTGAGTCCATGGTTGTAACTGCTGTGTCATGTTCAGAAAACAGAATTTCATGACTCTCCTCCTGACCCAGAAAACCATCAATGGTTGAGCATCCACAGTCATTTATGCACAGCACTTTGACCAGCAATGAATTTCTGCATGAACCACTTCCTATTATACGAAGTTTGCCTGAGGCTAGATATGGAGGCACACATGTTTAACCCCAACACTTGGGTGGGGGGGCAGAACTAGATGGATCTCTGTGAGTTTGAGGACAGCCTGGCCTATACAGTTAGCTCCAGGACAGACAGGGTACAGTCTTTATCTAAAAACAAGAAAAGGCAAAAAGTTGAGTTGATTTGACCACAGTTGAAAAAAGAATAAATCTATGAGTATTTTTCTGAGACACTAGCTTGGAAACATGACGGTTTATCACTACTTGTCTCCTCCATAGGCTAGAATTGTAATAGGAATCCATCCCTACTTGTGTTCTTCCCTAGATATGAGATATCTTCCATGACATCAGATTTAATCAGAAAGTGGTTGTTTCCTCCAGGACAGACTTTATTGCACCAGTGGGCAAAATCTGCTTCTGTAGTGTGCAGGGGTGGGGGTGTGGTAACATCACTGATGTCTTATCCCACATACACAGCCTATGCAGCACTTCCAAGCACTGGGGAAGAGTTTTCTGGTCCATTTGAAATTGATTTATTGATGCCTTGCAACCACATCATGTGGTGTGTCCAGCAGTGTTGTTCTACCATTTAGCTATCAAGAGATATGGCGATAGCCAGGTTGTTTTGGTGATTCCAGGGTCTCCCTTCACTAACAAATGATAGGTGTTACCCCATGCCTGGAAATTAGATTTTCACCGAATAACCTGTGTTTTCTGGGAACAGCATTTTACCATTGCAGGGATCCTCTAATGAAACTTTTAAAAATACTATATTTTAATTAATTTACAAACTAGTGGATTTCTGTAAGACTTCTTCATACACCTTTAGTTTTTGTGACCCACCTCTACCATTGTTCTTCTCTATGCCCCAACCACATCCACACTTGCTCCTTCAATCCACAGCATTCCCCCTCTAATCTTTCTGTCATTTGTGTTCAATTATATCACCTGTCTAATTATATTTTATATCTTAATCACACGGTCAGGGGTTGAATTTTTAATAACACTCCATTTTGGTTAAACCTTCCATCATGCTATGATTTCCCCATTACACATCCAATTCCATTATTGAACTTTCATGACCCTAGTATTCTTCTTATTTTAATGGCATTTCACTATCTCCCCTCCTTTGATGGACCCACAGTAAATGACCTGTTTCTAATTACGTGGCTTCCACATAGAGTCTAAATTAAACATACAAAATAAAAGATTTAAAACTAATAATCACATTTGAGATAGAATGTGAAGTTTGTTTTTCTGAGCCTGGGTGACCTCATTAAGTATATTTTCCAATTCCTTCTATTTACCTGCAAATTTCATATTTCATTTTTCTCAATGTGATTAATATTCCATTTTATACATCATATCTTCCTTATCCATTCATTCATTAGTTGATGAACATTTAAGTCAATTTCATTTCCTTGCTATTGTGAACTTACCTGCAATGAAAATGGACACGCAAGGGTCTCTGTAATAAGATATAAAGCCCTTTGGGTACATATCTAAAATGGATATGTAGCTGAGTCACAGCTACACAGCTGTTTCTAATTTTAGTTTTGTTTGTTGTTCATAATTTTTGTTTCTGTTTTGTTTTGTGGATTTTTTAAGTTCCTTGTATATTGCAGACACTAATACTCCATCAGATGTGTAGCTGGCAAGGCTCTTCACCATTACCTGAGATGCCTCTGCATTTAATTGACAGCCTCCTTTGCTTATAGTTTTTAATTTCATTATATCAGAGCAGTGTTAGTTGTACTTCCTTGCTACAAGAATTCTATTCAGAAAGCCCACACCTATGCCTATGGTCAACACACACTCCCTACTTTCTCCCCTACCAGCCAGAATAGCAGGTCTTTTTTAAAGGCCCTTGGTCCACTTAGAGTTGAGGATTTTTTGTTTTTGTTTTTGTTTTTTTTTTTTTTTTTCACTGTGACAAGGAAGGGCCCAGATTCATTTTTCTGCATTTTGAGGCTCACTTTTCCCAGTTTGTTTATTCTTCAGCAATTGTCTGTTTATTGAATTATATATACAGATATTTAGGTTAGGTCATTTTCTTTCTTTCAGTGGAGACATTGACATCATCCAGAAAAGGACTAATTCTTGCTAGTGTTGAGATGGCATTCTCCTTTGTGGAGCGGTATTGAGAGCTGCAAGCTCTTCCCCTAATCTTCCTCTGAGAGTCAGCTACTCTATGGGATCTTGAGTGAGACTCCTGCTGTAGGGTACATGGGGCTTTGTGAACCCTAATATGAAAGTTGAAACAAACAAACAAAAAACAAACGTATATGATTTTAGTTTAGATTCATAGAAACTACAAACTCAAGTAAGCACGTAAATGCATAACTTCTTTTTAAAAATCCAAATTTAGGTCTTAATATGAGATCGTTTATCATATTAAACTTCTCCACATATAGAAAACTTTATGTGTATTTCTAAACATACAAAATCCTGTTAAATGGTTACACATGATACATCTTGCCATGGTTTGCCTCTTTCATGTGTTGTATTTCTTTTATTTTTACTCTCATCAAATATAATGTATTACTATCTTAAACATATTTAATAATTCTGTTCCAACCTTACAGATGACAACATGTGGAATTTTCCAGTACATTCTTCCTAAATTTCTGGAACATCAATATGAAGATGAAGCAAGCTTTTCTCTTAGATTGCATCTTCCTATATGCTGCAAACTACAATTACCATCTCCCTACTTTCTCTTCCATTCACCCTTTCCTGTTTTTAAATCAGTTTTAGTGTATATTTGGAATTTAAATAAATTTATTTCACTTGCATACGTGTCTCTGAAGAAAGGAAGCTAAACTGAAATGCACAGAAATATCTATCTGACTTTTTTAAAAGGAGAAGAGGGTTAGAGGGATGGTTCAAAGGTTAAGAGCACTAGATGCTCTTCCAGAGGACCTGAGTTCAATTCTTAGCACCCACATTAAGCAGCTCACAACTGCAGCTCCAGGAGACCTGGAACCCTCTTCTGAACTCTTTGAGCACTGCATGCAGATCACACACACACACACAAACACACACACACACACACACACACAATTTTTAAAAATTCTATTTGAATGCAAGTATGGGTTAATAATATCGGATGATTTTATTAAGAATAATTTCAGGGGCATGGGTAAGGCTCAGTGGTTAAAGTATTTACCATTTAAGCATAAAGTTCAATTATGTGTTCAATTATTAAAATCCAGGTGTGATGGATCATGCCTGTAATTCCAGCACCAGGGAGGGAGGTATAAATAGATGACTTTTCTGGTGTCACCAAGAGCCAGTCTACACTACCTGAAAAATCCCAGGCCAGTGAGACACCATCTCAAAAATAAGGCAGGGGGTTAAGAGCACTGGCTGGTCCTACAGAGGACCACACACATGGCATCTTACTACTGTTTAGATCTGACATGTATGTAGATATACATGCAGGCAAAATACATAAAATAAAAATAATAAAAGTAATTTTTTTAAAGGCAGATGTGCAAGCAGGATGACAGCTGACATTGTTCTGCGGCCTTCAACATTCATATGCACACACATACATCCACAAACACAGGTGCTCAACTACACACACACACATACACACCCACCAACATGTTACAGACTCCAATATTGTTTATTTTTATTTTTGCTTTTGTTTTTCTAATTAATTTATCTATTCACTTTACATAGATCACAGCCCTCTTCCTCCTCTCCTCCCAGTCCCACCCTCTTCCCCCATTCCCTCTTGCCCCTCTCCTCAGAAAAAGGGAGCACCCCTCCCCCGCAACCAGTCTGCTCCAATAGATCAAGTCACATCAGGACTAAAGTGCAAGACTAACACTGAAGCCAAATAAGTCCGCTTAGCTAAGGGAAAATGATTCAAAAGGAGGCAACTGTGTCTATGTCAGAGACAGCACCGCTCCAGTTCATAGAGGGTACATATGAAGACCAAGCTGCTCATCAACTATATATGTGTAGGCGCCTAGGCCCAATCCATG